AGGAAACGTGTTATGACCCGAAGCTCACAGTAGTAAATTTGCTATGCATCTGGGGAACACGAAAATGTATCACAATTTGAGACAAAATTTTTGGTGGCCTGGAATGAAGAAGAGTATTGTTGATTTTGTGGCTCGGTGCCTATATTGTCAACAGGTTAAAGCGGAACATCAACGACCCGTTGGTTTGCTACAACCACTCCCAATATCGGAATGGAAATGAGAGCACATTACCATGGACTTCATTGTGGAATTACCTCGTTCTTCTCGACGTATGGACTCTATCTGGGTTATAGTTGACCGTTTAACTAAGTCTGCCCATTTTCTGCTTGTCAAAACTATTTATAACGCTGATAAATTGGCCAATATCTATATGACTGAAATTGTGAGATTGCATGGAGTGCCAGTATCTATTGTGTCTGACAGGGACTCAAAGTTTGTATCGAGATTTTGGCAGAGTTTGCAACAGGCTTTGGGGACTGAATTGAGACTGAGCAGTGCCTATCACCCACAGACAGATGGCCAAACTGAACGAACGAACCAAACTCTACCATAAATCACATATATTCTAACTAATCTAAAACAATAATCAACTTCTGACTCAGGCACCGATAAGGCTTTCAATTCGCAGTTCAAAGTCGAAACATAAACAGATCTTTATGGCAAATAGATAGAAACACAAGATAATGCAATACATATGCAATTTAATTCCGAATTCCTTTCGAAAATTACTGTTAAGGCATAAATAATCATGGGTTAGCATTAATCGGAGGGTCAGGGTTATTACAATCTCCTCCCGCAAAAGAGTTTGGTCCTCCAAACCTGAATTACCTTCATTCGAAATCAACATTGGGTCCAATGGGAAACAAATCTGGATATCTCTTCATCATGTCTTCCTCGGTTCCCAAGTTGCATAGGTTCCTCCGTGGTTTTGCCAATCAACTTTTACCAACGGTATTTCTTTATTTCTCAACTTTTTGATCTGGCGATTCACAATTTGGATAGGTCTTTCCTATAAGTGTAGTAATCTTTCAAAAAGCACATGTGTCGGTTCAATGACGTGGAGTGGATCCCTCAAGTATTCTCGTAGCATCGATACATGAAAAGACGTTATGCATAATGTTCCATCACTAGAGGTACGCTACCCGATACGATACCGGATTGATCTTTTCGAGGACTTCATAAGGTCCAACATATCTTTGGCACCAATTTTCCCTTAACACCAAAACCGAGTTTGACCCTCATCGGGGTCACCTTTATGAACACGTGGTCCCCAAACTTCATATTCCCTCTCTCTCTCTCGAACATCGACATAGCTCTTCTGCCGACTCTGTGAAGTTTTCAGACGCTGCTTGTATCAGTTCACTTTCTCGGTTGTTTCTTGCACAAGTTTCGGTCCCAAACAAGGTCTATCACCTACTTCAGCCCAACATATCGGAGAACGACATTTTCTCCATACAAAGCTTCGTAAGGAGCCATGCCAATGCTTGAATGGTAACTGTTGTTGCTACACAAATTCAGCTAATGGAAGTAGGTTCTCCCAATTCCCTTGGAAGTCAACACACACATTCTGAGCATATCCTCC